GTGTTCTTCTCCACGACAATGTACGTCCACATATGGCCCGTTTGACGCAACACAAGATTATAGTGTTTGGTTGGGAAGTTCTCCCCCACCCACCATATTCTACAGATATGGCACCATCAGATTATCATCTTTTTCGTTCGCTGCAACACCATCTTAATGGTAAAACGTATGCAAAATTTGGAAAGTGTTAAAGAGGACATCGGCATGTTGTTTTGTAAGATGGAAAAGCATCATCGATAAGAATGGAGACTATTTCATTTAATAAACGTTTTGCTTTGATAAATAAGTTGTTCGGTTTTTTTATCTAAAAAAAAGCGACAATAATTTCTTGACCACCTAATATTTAGCGAAAGGCCTCGTCAGCACTGGATATTACATTATTCTTTACTTTCACTCGTACTTTCTTATAAACACTTATTTAATAACTGTTAACTGGTAATGAGTTGCACATGGGAAATTCAGTCAGAGAAACTTTAATCAAAGTTCACTTTCTTCGAAATTAATATCGTGGCCTTTAATGCAAATATAACTGGAACAAAAAAAACAGTTAAAGGACCTGAGCAAATCTAAAAATTAACCTTTAACAGGATCGCCTCTCCGTTTTTGGTTAGGCATTGATGGCGCTGAAAATATTTCGTCTGTTTGGCTTAATATAGAATAGAAATCACAGCTCTGGTTCACTCTTAACTATTTCTTCAGGATCAGTAGCTCATAACTCATTAACTCTTTAACAGTTTCTTTATACTCAAGAAGCCATAACACTGGTTAATTGTTGGCTCTTTGCTTACAGTAAAAAATCAGAAAACAAATTAGTCTTTACTGTTTGTTTAGGTTCAATAATTCATTTTACTAATTAATTTTTAAATACGTTTTTTTTCAGTTAAAGATTCATAACATTGATTAGCTATCGACAAACAGTTTACAATCAATAATTCAAAGCACTGTTTAACTCCTGACTGTTTTTTACAACAAACACCATAACACTGATTAGATTTTGGCTGTTCGTTCAAAACAGACATATTAGAACATTTATTAACTCTTGACTGTTTCTTCACAACAAACACCTCATAACACTGATTAGGTCTCGGCTGTTTGTTCATAACAAACATATCATAACACTGACTAGGTCTAGGCTGTTTGTTCACAACAAACATATTACAAAGCTGATTAGGTATTGGTTGTTTGTTCACAATAAACATATCATAACACTGATTAGATCATGTCTGTTTATTCCCAATAATAATTTCAGAACAATGTTTAATTCTTCAATTATTCTCAATAAACTTATCAGAACCCTGATTAACTTTTGATGTTAGTTTAAGTTCAATTGTGTATAACACTAATTAGCCTTTGACAACGATCAAATCTTAGAGCAACTTATTTATTTACTTTAGTCCAACTATATGAACTTTATATATATGTATATACTACCAAACTCTTTGATTTATTTCGCTTAATATATGTAAAAAACAAACAAAACACAACTGAGATGTTGCTCTTGTTACTAGTTTATAGCAGTGGTACTTCTAGAACGTTCTTAGTTTACAGCAATGGCACTTGTAGAAAGTTCTTAGTTTACAGCAATGGCACTTGTAGAAAGTTCTTAGTTTACAGCAGTGGTACTTGTAGAACGTTCTTAGTTTACAGCAGTGGTACTTGTAGAACGTTCTTAGTTTACAGCAATGGCACTTGTAGAAAGTTCTTAGTTTACAGCAGTGGTACTTGTAGAACGTTCTTAGTTTACAGCAATGGCACTTGTAGAAAGTTCTTAGTTTACTGCAGTGGTACTTGTAGAACGTTCTTAGTTTACAGCAGTGGTACTTGTAGAACATTCTTAGTTTACAGCAGTGGTACTTGTAGAACATTCTTAGTTTACAGCAGTGGTACTTGTAGAACATTCTTAGTTTACAGCAGTGGTACTTGTAGAAAGTTCTTAGTTTACAGCAATGGCACTTGTAGAAAGTTCTTAGTTTACAGCAGTGGTACTTGTAGAACGTTCGCTGTCGAAGGAAACGTAAGCCTGAATATCCTCTAGCATAGTTTCAAGTTTCAGTTTTAGTTGTAAGAACGTTGGGCGGTGCACGGGACTGGTACTCCAACAAGAAATCATCAACTGATACCTTCAAAACACAGAATAGAAAACATCTGTGTCATCTACGTATTGTAATGGTATAATAATTTAGTTTCTCTTTCTTCCAATCCCAGACTTAATTACAAACACGAACAAAACTAATCAAACTCAGTTATTCCCCTTTATCCTTTGGGAATTAAATTATAAAAAGTAACACTGTGTTTGTTTATGATGCAAACAACGGCTAACACACACACACACACACACACAAAAACAACATTTTTTATACCATAATATAATTACATTTAATTCTTATTGACCCTAAACTGTTAGGATGGTTTTGGGTTTCAGGCCACTTAGACCTGGGCTGGGCGTGGTCTAAAATAAGTGTGCCCGGACTGTGAATTCGAGGTTCGTGACCCATTGCCGCAAAATGCATTCCGTACTTTGGGACGGTGGGAGCACTATGTGAGTAATAGTCATATGACACTATCCAACCAGACACGAGTCTCCCAAGAACGGAGGCATGTGGTGTTGACTAGTGACTTCCATCTAGTCTATAAAGTCTAAATTAAGGAGAGCTATGTGCAAATAGCCCTTTGTTTAGCTCTGTGAGAAAATTCTGAAACAGTTAATCAATCAAATGTATCTCAAAGTTGTTATTTTTTTAGGAAAACTATAATTTGTTAAAAAATATATAATGGCCATGTTATCGTATTTTAAAGCTTCCACTAAACATGAGAACACTAAAAAAAGATCTCATTATTATCACACAATTAGGTATTAACTTAGTGTCATCCTAGTAATCGTTGTTAAGCAGGAAATAATATACTTATTAAGAAAATGGTCACGTTATAATAGCTGAGCTTGTTTCGTTAGTATTTTCATCTGCAAGAAGCTTAATTTTCCGAGATTTTCTTTAAAACCATAAATAAATATCAAATCAAGTATTCCTGCTGAAAGTATTAGAATTGATATATGAATATATATATATATATATATATAATAATATAATTATATAACACAAATTTAGATATATACATACAAATCTTCGCTACAGTTTTCCGGTTTTTCCTAGTCGATGTCCAGTCTCTAAAAAAGCCAGTATTTCGTGATTCGCTACGCCAGGGTAGGGAGTCGCTCCAAGAGTGTAGATCTCCCATAAAAGTACACCAAATGACCATCTGGTTGGAATAACGCATTAGTACTTAATAATTCAATGACAGAAATCCATAACATATATATACATATACAGTACACAAAATAACATAAATATGCTTTCAAATACTGATGATTTGGGAACTATATTAATATATTTTGAGACATTAAAATTAGCCTAAGTAATACTTTCTGTGGTTTAATAGTTACGTACATTTGTTGTATTTAAATTTTGTAGTCGTGCTACATTTTGGAAAATGTTTATATGTATGAATATATATATATGTATATATAGCTTTTAACTTCTTGATTACATTAATTGTTAATAGGCGACTGAATCCGCACTATAAAACAATAATAAACTTAATATAAGAAAAATTTCCAAAACTTTTAAAACAATCATCGCATTTTTCACTCGTAATCCAAAGGTCATGACCGAGATTGTCTGTGGTAATAGCACCCAAAAGTGTTGGAGGATATCCCCCTCTATCAGACAAAATCCAAAAAGCAGATGAGAAACCAGTTAGCAGTAGGAGTTGAGACGTTGTGAGTGTAAGCACTCAATTCCTTACCCGTATTTGATTTTCCATGATTACTGGCTAGACTAACATCAGCGTTTGGATTGATAGAGGGGGATATCCTCAACGCATTTGGGTGCTATTGTCACAGACATTATCCGCTATGACAATTAATTGACAACCTGGACCGATAACGGTAATGCGATATATGTATGTATATATATATATATATATTTGTGTGTGTGTGTAAGTTCTTGTCAACGAGATGAAGTTATTACATAAATAACAAAATCAAAAAGGTAATAAACAGCAATATATTTATTTATCTAACTATACATACTTTGTTCTAAATATATAGATAAAACAAATGGAAATAATTTTGTCAGTATATAATTGAAACAAAAGTTTCACTTAAGGCAAACAATTGATACGTTTATTCTTGAAAGTAGTTCGAATTTAATGTCTTTTTGTTTAACAGTTAAAACTATAGTAAACATTATTTCTCACCCTTTCTTTCTTGGGTTAAAGGATGTTCTATGCTCAAGAGAACGTTATACTGTTCTTCAAAACCCTAAATTTTCAATTTTCTTTTCTTTTTTTGTTGTTGTTGTCTGATTGCGCATTTAACAAGTGTGTTAATACGAAAAATACAATTACATAGACATTATGTATTCAGTTTATTGTTTTAAAGTTAAATTGAAAGTTCGATCGCACCATAAAAAAGTAAAAAAACAAACAAAAAGACAAAAGTTAGAGAAAAAAAACGTTCCAAACACTTTTAGGATGTCATCCTTTAAGCTTTTTTTACTTACACGTCGCTCTTTGTTGTATACGTTTGATGAGATATTGCCTCTATGGCCATCCATTTCAACGGAAGTTTGGTGCACCTGCTCTTTTCGTACATACCAACTTCGTAGACATCCCTGGAGAGTCCGAAGTCAGTGATCTTCACTCGGTTGTTATCGTACATGAGAATGTTTCTAGCGGCGAGGTCTCTATGGACTATTTTATGAGAAGCCAGAAATTCCTGAAAAAAATTTGATTAAATTTACTTTAAATCTAACTTAGTAAACCTTATATTTTCATTCAACTAGACTGCTGAAAAGTCCTTTTGGAATACAATCTGTCAAATATAAAGAAAACAAGTGTATATGTAATTAATATAAAATAATTCAGTTTAATTTAAAAGTTGCAACAAGGATTCATGATATCCTATATCATTTCAAGACATGGATAGATTTAATATGCTGATAATATATGGATATAATTTAATAGTAAATCATAGAATACCAAGATATGAATTATAAAACTCACATACAGAATACTATTATATTTTATCATGAAACGTTCGTTAGCTTTTGAAAGACCGAGGTTTGATATTTGGATGGAATTTTCTTTTGCTTTCTTCTCCAAGATTAAATAGACACCAATTGTTGTTCGTGAAATGCAGGGATAGTAGCTTCAACTGTAACATTTAAATTGGAAAAAAAAGGACCAACTCAAAGTAACTTAGACGTGATGACCAAATTATAATTAGTTTATTTTATGTAATTTAATTAGAATTCTGGTAAATTAATCTAAATGGAAGGAAGCTGTTAGATGTTACTGTAAGAAACATCTCTAACAAATCTGAGACAAATTTACCAGGATAAGCTACTGTACAAGGAACGCTTTATGCGAGGAAAAATTAGATTAAGGACAATATACAGAAAAAATATATATAAAAATTGCAGAACCAATAAATTCAGTAAAGGCCACTGAGAAAGCTATGTGTAAACAATTAAGATGTTCTAATTTGGGTGTCACATCTAAACCGAGTGAAGCCATTGTAAAATATTCTGCCAGTTGTTGGTTTAATATCGGCGGAACAAATATCTTACCAAACTGACTTTACTTCCTACATTATTTGCTTTTGAAGAAGGCAATAAAACTTGTATCTTGTTAAATAGGTGATATTGATTTCAGTGTTCATTTAGAGATGATAGATTCCAAAGATGACGTCAAGCTGCATTGTGATATTTGAGTTTTCAAACACAATAAACGGATCACGTGACTGTGTATAACGCGCATACAAAATTCATTAATAATAATGGTATCTTGTGCTAAGATAAATATAAATTCTACATCGTAGTTTCCTTTGAAAAACAATTTAGAACGAGTAGAAAAACCAATGAAGCGGGAATATTTGACACCAATGAGTATGAGTGTGTTAGTTATGAATCCAATCCAAGTGTAACATTTGAAAAGGCTATTTTAAATTAAAAACGAAAAAACTATAAAACTAGAAGTAAACTACATTATATTAAATAAGATAAAATAAGTTATTTTAACTAACATCTATGCCGAGTATAACGAAAAGGTTTTCAGAGATTTTTCATTTATTGCTACAATATTAAACGTCCAAACTTACGACGCAATGGAATCAGTAGACTTAATATTCGTGATAAATATCACGATAGAATTCAAATGCTCATTTTCTACATACTTATTAACGAGGACACTACGGATTTCCAATCAGAGATGTATAAAAAATTGCATTTTCGATCTATCATTTGTCTACTACAACCCACTACAACCCAAGAAGTCCTGTCATTAATGCTGTTTTTACAAATCTCTGATTTGAAATCCGTAATGAACTAATTAAGGGTTATGTTGTGGGAAATGTTTGCAATCTAGCGTGATTTTATCACGAACATTAGGCCTAACATTAATTTATTTTATCAGAGCTTCATTATAAGTGGTATCTGAAATAATATACACATAAAGTATGCCAAAACTAAGACCAACTAAATACTCAAATCGTAGTTAATAACGCTACGACAAAACTTAAGATATGTATAGTTTAGTTCACGGTAAATAACAATATTGCGGCTTACTTTATTATTTGTAACAAGACTGTTTACAAATTAATTTAATTAAGACAAACTATGAATTAGTAAATTTAGAAATTCTATAATAAAACTGTGAATTATTATCTGGAGACTTTCCAACAAAGGAAGAAACCATTTTACAACATTTGGCTTTTCTATCCAGGAAGAACCCAATTTATAACACTGGACTTTCCTACCAAGGTAGAACCTAATTTATAACACTGGAATTTCCTTCCAACATAGAACCCAATTTATAATACTGAACTTTCCAACCAAGGTAGAACCCAATTTAGAATACTGGAATTTCCTACGAAGGTAGAACCCAATTTATAATACTGGAATTTCCAACCAAGGTAGAACCCAATTTATAATACTGGACTTTCGTACCAAGGTAGAACCCAATATATAATACTGGAATTTCCTACGAAGGTAGAACCCAATTTATAATACTGGAAATTCCAACCAAGGTAGAACCCAATTTATAATACTGGAATTTCCTACGAAGGCAGAACCCAATTTATAATACTGGAATTTCCTATCAAGGTAGAACCCAATTTATAATACTGGACTTTCCTATGAAGGTAGAACCCAATTTATAACACTGGACTTTCCTACCAAGATAGAGCCTAATTTATTATACTGGAATTTCCAACCAAGGTAGAACCCAATTTATAATACTGGAATTTCCAATAAAGATAGAAGTCAATTTATAACACTGGACTTTCCTACCAAGGTAGAACCTAATTTATAACACTGGAACTTCCTTCCAAAATAGAACCCAATTTATAATACTGGACATTCATACTAAGGTAGAACCCCATTTATAACACTGGACTTTCCTACCAAAGTAGAACCTATTTATAATACTGGACATTCATACCAAGGTAGAACCCCATCTACAACACTGGAATTTTCTTACCAAGGTAGAACCCAATTTATAATACTATCTTTTAGAAAGTGACAATTAATGTTATCTCAGTTACATATATATCAATAAATAGTTCAAATATGTCTTTTTTACGGCCTACTTTTCGATTAAACACCTCATTTACATCCAAACTCCAGGTAGGTTTTAATTCATTTGCATTTATGCTTCTGCATCTTCTCTACGCTTGAAAATTAACTGAAAGGTACAATTGATCAGTTAGTATACTATTACTACATATGAATTTTCGAAAATAATTACAGGTACAACAAAACAACAAAATGGCCAAACACTCTACGCGAATTTCTTACATTATAAAATCAAACTCTCTGGAAAAAATCATCGAAACATTTCACATAACTTGACGTCTGTCATCAATTATAATATTCTGACTGTATATCAGATGCCTTGACTTTCCAAATCATCTACAGACTAGGACAAAACGCTCACTTTTCTCGTGATGTTAATAAACCAGAACTCAGAGTTCATACGTTTGAATTAAAAAAGATCAAATAGCAATCAACACACATTTGGTCTCGCTTTGATTCAATATATATATAATATTTTTATAATTCAGGTCCAACTCTGAGTCAGGATATAACCGTTCTAGCTCTGTTTCAAAACATATCTTGACATAGCTCTAAATGAGGAAATAATCAGCTTAGATTCATTTCAAAAGTTTCCGGTTAAGGTCAGTTTCAGGACATATATGCTCTCTATCTAAATCTTTGCATTTACAGTCTAAGTTTATTTTAGTACATACTTGACTAACTCAAACTATATTCTTGTCTAAAATCAAAACACGCCGGACTAGCTCTAAATTAGGACAAATTTTGTCTACATGTAATTCAGGACACAATCAGGTCCAGTTTTAATTCAAAATACACTCAGTATAGTTTTATTTCAGGACGTTTCTGATCGCGCCCTGTTTCAGGACATGTCTGTTCTAGCACTATTTTGGGACATAACTAGTCTAGACTTCATTTAGAACACACAGGCTGGAGTGACCTATTGGTTAGCGTGCCGGTGGCTTAATACCTAAACTGTTCTTTTTTTAACAACTCCACTATCAAATCACCAAAGCTTGGTGACTTATCATTATTCAGTTTTATCTTTTTAAAGCAAACTTTCATATTCACTGTTAAAAACTTGAGTCTTACTTAGCTAAAAAGATGCAAAAGAATGGTCGGATCTATGTTCTAGAAGAAAGTTATTTTGATCTACATTTGCAAGAGCATTATATAGACCCTTGATAGAAAAAACATATTTATTAAATTTATAAACAATAAAAAAAAGTTACAATAATAGCGACAATGTTTACAAACTGTGCAATTTTTCACTGACCTAATAAGGGTTTACATTAAGAAGAGTATCTTTGTAGCTTTTCAATCATATTTTAATTGATGTACCCCCCTGCCGACGAGATCTTTTGTTAATTATCATGATTTATTAGTCAGCTGTGATAGAAACTGCTAATAAAAATATTCTTTACACCTGATTATTCATATCCAAATAACGATTGTAAGAATAGACTTGTGTATAAATACACGAAACGAATAAATAGAGAGCACTTACCATACCCAACGCTATCTGGCGACTGTAAGATAGTAACTTAGCAGCAGATATGTGCCTTGGTGGACAAGAATGTTCTGGAAGACCTTAAAATGAAATGTAATTCATTATTAGAGATAATAAATATAATGTACAATATTTACAATAGCTTATTATAGTTCTTTATTATTATTATTATGTACCGCGTGAGCCTAGTGGTGTGTTGTCGGAGTGTAAATCCAAGGGTCTATGGTTCGCATATCCCTCGCTGTGGTTACGTGGATGCGTTATAAACACGACAATCAAATCCCACTATTCGATCAAGAAAGTTTAGCTTAAGAGTTGTCGACGTGTGCTGCTGACTAGCTGCCTTCCATCTAATCTATCAGTTTAAAATTATGCGCAGCTAATGCAGTCAGCCTTTTGTAGTTTTGCACGAATACATTCGAAAAACTGATTATTTCAGTTTTTACTTTAAAATTCAAAGTATTTCATAGTTACCTCTCTAATACCTGTTGATATGATTTAGCAAACAATTCAATACATCTTTCAAAACAATATGTTGAAAAAGAAAACAGTTTCATTCCCGATATATTACTGGTAGTGATTTAATTCCACTGAATGTAATACTAATAATTGTAAAAATTAATGTATATTATGATTTGGAATATGGGTGAAATGTGTTTATAAAATCTACGTAAACGCTCTAAAAACTCTTCAACTATCAATGAGTCTCACTCTTTAACACTAATAGATATTTAGTATCAAAAGTAAACAAGCTGAATAATAAACAATAACGACGTTTCTTGGCAAAATGAAATATAAGATCTTTATTACAAATATCATCCGACTAGTTGCCGTCATCAAGAGCTCCTCACTAGCCCTGATGATGGTAACTGTATTACCGAAACTCATCCGACTAGTTACCATCATCAAAGCTCCTCACTATCCCTGATGATGGTAACTGTGTTACCAAAACTCATCCGACTAGTTACCGAAATCAAAGCTCCTCACTAGCCCTGATGATGGTAACTGTGTTACCGAAACTCATCCGAATGAAATTTGTAATAAAGATTGTATCTTTCATTGTGCCGAAAAAGATCGTCTTTCTTTATTACTCTTAAAATTGTAACACACAATGTGCCTGAAAAGAAATTGTAGTTGTAATATATTTTAAAATTACTTTCTCCGAAAACTGTTTTGTCACTATATTAGGATCAGGTTGGATTGCCTTCCACCGAGATAATAGCTTAGACTCAAGTTAACATAAAATCCACAAGATGACGAAAGATGTTTTGTAACTATATTAGGATCAGGTTGGATTGCCTTCCGCCGAAATAATAGCTTAGACTCAAGTTAACATAA